TTTACTTCCATACTAAGTATCTCTGCCATAAACAATTCACTACTTAAAATCAACCAATTTAAGAGATGCTATTCAACTTTAATTTTAATCAGAGAGCTAAAATTCTTCAGCTCGAGGGCCTTTTTATGTTCTTATTACATCTATACCTTCATCATCTGTGTACGGTTTTCTTCTTTTCCGAATGACGAGGATAACCACACCCGCAAAGATGCTCAAAAGTCCAATGCCAACAATGACACCCACAATAGTACCAGTCCTGCTCTTTCCCTTTAATGGTGGCCTATTAGCCACAGTTGGTGTAAAATCTGAACAGGAATATGTGACACTTAGGCACTAACTAGCATCAGGAGATAGTGAAAATCAGGGGAAAAAAAAAAGAATTCACCATTTTTGTTACCTGGTCTTGCACTGACGGCTGATATTAGTGGCCCATAAGCCCCTTGGATAGGAATACAGCATGTTCCTTTTCCAGCCCAGAAAAGATGAACTTCGAGATGATTTTCTGCTACATTTGTTTTATATTCTCTCTGAACTGCTCGAACCGAAGAGCCACCAGCTGTTCTGCGTACATCAAAATCCTTTTCAACAAGTCTTCCCTGGAAAAATGGAGATAGATCTTAGAATTCATCAGAATCAAAAAGTTAAATTGTAAAGCAGAAAGCTAGATCAAGTAGTGCAGACCTGGACATAAATGTCAAAACGTCGTCTTCCGATACCTTTCCAAGAGTTAGAACCTTGAATTTGTATTTCAGCAAACTGAAGTATAACGGTATAGCCTCCATTTTCTAGCCCCAACCCATAATACCTTAGGGAAGATGCAGAAAGTCTTGCTGACTGAAATAGCTCCGAGTCCAAAGTGTTGATAAATTGTGATTGTGAAGTCTCTCTGTATTTATTACTGCTACTTCCAGCAAAATTTCCTACACTACTAGCTGCCCATCTCTGAGCAGCACTCACAACAAACGAAGCTGGTCCAAGATCCGTGTCCTCTTTCTCATATAGTGCTCCGCTAGCAGACCTTATCTCTGGGCCTCCGCAGTTGATCGAAAAGTTAAAATCTACACACCAGTCAATAGCAAAAGTCTTGAAACAATTTTTTTTCCAATAGAACATTTGAGCACTGTACATATGTTTGCTCACTCCACATGCGAACAAAAGTTATGAGGATATCTTTTTGTTACACTTACAGATTCCTTTGCCTCGATTGCATGGGAAGTTCTTCTGCAGGCAATGTAGTCCTGATAAAACCCTTTTAACAACAAAAAAAAAGATTTAAGAAAGAAATGATAAATCGTTTATGCTTGCATCCTTTTGTAGGAAAAGAATAGAAAAGAGGAATTTCTGCACATATTAAAAAATCACCTGTTGTCAAGACCTTCCAGTGTGAAGTTGTTAGCAACTAGATTGCTGCACATATCACATACACTTCTGTTTATTATTCCCTAAAAAGTGATTACAATTAATATATTCGACAAAAAGGAAGCTTCATGCTGCATAAGAAAAGGCCTAATGAATATGCATGTGGGAAATTTTCTGAGATTGTAAAAACACTGTGAAGATAAGTTGGGATATAATGTTATTGTTTACTTACAGTTTCAAATCTGGTAAGCTGACCCATGAAGGAAGACTTCCAGAAAAATCATTGTACGACACATCTCTGTAAGCATAAAAGAACAATACAATTAGGATCTACCGAATATATTATATGTCCAAAAACAGTTTTCTTAATATCTTGGCAAGTTGTCTGTGTCATCAGGAGTAGAATCTTATTCAACTTGAATAAGTGCCCGGTAAAAAGTGTACGATACTCAAGTCTATACCAGGGGATACGTTGTGGCTTTTGAAGATGGAAAAATTATAAAGGATTTCGTTACTCACACATTTCTCAGCGACTGCCCCTTTAGAGTGGGCAAGGAGCCATTCAACGTGTTGTTTCCCAGAAACCTAATATGAAGACAACAACAAAAAAAAAAATTCACACTTATCCGGGTAGTTGTATGTTAAGACCCAAGATAGGCACCGAAGAAGCAGAAAACATATCATCTTACAAGTGAGTAAGTCGACTTAAGTTGAAAAGTGAAGCCGGAATTGGTCCATGTAGTTTGTTGAAGCTCAAATCACTGAAACACAAACATGAATTAAACGGTAAAACATTAAACTATTAAACATTAAACATTAAACGGTATACGAAATTATATTATCAGCAGTTTAAGATCATCTCTTGTTCTTTCTGTGACTTTCACAAATCATCTCACTCTTTTTGACCTGAAACAGCTTTCAGAGCATGTGAAGAAACACCCTGACATATTTACTTACACTTGTTGCAAACTTGAGTATCCTCCAATAGTAGATGGTATTGTCCCAGTGAGATTGCTGTTCCTCAATACTCTGCAACCAATATCATAATTGCTAAACACACGGAGGAGAGAGAAACAGTTCAACAGTGCATTAATCTGAACATGAATTGGAGCAGAAGTTGAATCAAAGCTGTCTTACAACACACTTAGAGATTTCATGTCTTTGATGAAATCAAGAGAAGAGCTTCCATTGGATATATCACCAAGCCTCCTACATATAGAATATGAATATGTGGACGAAGGGTAAGATAGAGAAACAGTAAAAAATAATGATTCGGACACAATGCAACACATACAGTTCTGTCAAAGAAGTCAAGTTGGAAAATGACGACGGTATTGGGCCACGCAAACCAGTTCCGAGAATTCTCCTGCAGTAGTTTATTCCAAGTTTAGATGCAACGAAGAATTATTCAACAAGAGTATAGAAAATCTATTACAAGAGCAATGGAACAAGTCCATTATATAACTCCGTCAGAATGATGTCTTCTTACAAGGTAGTAAGTTTGGTCCACTTTCCTATGAAGTCTGGTATCGGACCTGTAAGTTCCACATCCATAATCCAACTGGTACAACATTAAGGAAACAGTCACCCCAGGGCAAAAAACTAAAATGTAAAGTAATAAATTGATTACAAAAAATATATCTTACGCGACTTCTAGCTCCACAAAATTAGCAAATGATAAAGGTATTTCCCCGCTGAGTCCCGAACTATCTATGTACCTGCAATAGATGTAAGAAATTCTTAAAAATAACTAGTAGAGCGCAAGACTTTTATGGTCGGCGAACACTAAATAATTTTCTGAAGTTTAAGGTTTCATATCTCAATTACAACTAGTAAATAAATACATAAGCATTTATAGATTTGACAGATAGACTCACATCTGTTGTAGTTTTGTACAACTCCCAATCTCAGCTGGTATAGAACCAGAAAAGTTATTTGAACTAATACCACTGCAGAACATAGATATAGTCATAAGGAACCATCAAATCTTCCAGAAAGCAGTATGATCACATTTTCAAATATAAACAATGAAGAAGCAGACTAAGCTTACAGTAATCTTAAATCAGTAAGCAAACCGATTTCCTTAGGAATAGGGCCAGACAAGGCGTTGATCCCAAAAGTCCTACATTTGAGCGTGAGAGACAAGAAATTGATAATTGAACTTGTAGATAATCACCAAGAAGGAAAAAGGAAGAAGGGCATTTACATCCACTGCATCCGAGTCAGATTTCCAATTGCAGGAGGCAGTGAGCCTGTGAGATAATTTTGACCTAGGTTCCTGAAAGATGTGTTTTTGATGACCATTGGATAAAGTAAGAGTTGTGTCAACATATATTAACTTGTGAATATAAGAAATGGGTTGTATGAATCAATACAGATTGGTGAGGAATATCAAAGTCCAGAGCTCCTGAGGTATAGGTCCTACAACATCTATCGCATAAACCTTTCTGTAGAAACAAAATTATTAAGACTCAGTGGGAGAATTCGTCGAACATCTGGAGTGCACAAAAGAGGCGTACATGTTGTTTATGCGGCAGATTGTGGAGTTTTCGAAACTACAGTCGCATTTGATGAGAGGATTGTAGGCAGGGTTTGTGTCTTGGACACTTGCGTCGATGGCGACGCCGGAGCAAAGTTCGCCGCTCATGTTCCATTCTTTCGGCGCCCGGATCTTCCAAGTCGCGAAGATGGAATTCAAAGCTCGCGCTGTTTATTCACAACGGCCAAATTATTATTATGAGCCCCTTAATCTATTTACGCTTGACTATTAATTGAAACTACATATTAAATGAACTAAAAAAACTGATTATATTAACTGAAACTAACCGATAAAATTTTCTTGAGCATTTTTTTTGGTTGAAAACAAGCATTTTTATATGTTTATTACAAAGAAGTAGCTATATAATCTACAAATCCAATCGATAATTGACTTTTGTTATAGATAAAAAAAAAAAAAAAAAAACATTTGTCAAGTGTTGAAAGACAGACCGTCGTCGGGATGAGTAGTGGCTCTGGTTCGGTTTTGGGCTCGAACTACCACGTGAACCGAACCAGAACTACACAAGAACCAAACGGTTAGGAGCAGAAACAGAGATCTCCGTAGCCTGAGCATCTCAACAGAGGAGGTTTTTTTTTATAACTTTGGTTCAACTATGAGTGTTTATAAAGACGCTGTGTGTTTTCTGTAGTCTGTAGAGAGACGTTAATGGCTATGTTTGATAGAGTGGGAATATTTTTCCTTCTTCACCACTAGACCACATAATAATAATATAACAAACAATGTAGTTTTCTTTCTTTTTTAGTCCACACTCTATAGCAGAGAGAAGACTTAATAACTATGAGAGAAGACTTACACTATGAAATCTTCCCACTTGTTGACACACCAATCACAGCCAAGATTATTTATATGTAATTGATAAACAATGTAAGATTGACTATAAACGAAACAAGTCGTCGTGCATTATCAACTAGGTACTCGAGAGTTTTAAGACAACTTGAGACTTAAAAAGGATTAGTTATTTGCTAAGTGTCGTGCAATATGCCAATATCCATTTAGTGCTCGTAGAACCCACTCATGAAAGTGATTCCGGTTCGTAATTAAGTTTCAAGACGTCGTCCATTTTCTACTTGGGACTTAAAAAGGAACTCATGAAAGTGATCTTAATGATTAAATCCTTTGGTGTTCCAAGACAAACGTTACAACACATGATTATACACAACAAGGAACAAGTGGCTAGTAAAGGTCCGTCACCTTCAGAGACTGCATGCGTTGACTTGGTTGAGGACATGAAATAGTGCCCGGCCCATCATGAAGTCAGAACTCAGAGCTACTAAACCATTATTTTATTGAATCAAAGTAAAATCTTCCATATAGCCACCATAGTTACAAAGAAGGGTCTTTGTCATCTTCCCTCCTTGATCTTGAATCCAAGCATTGGCTTACTGTCGCTGTCTCTTGGCCCAGGCGTCACAAAGCTCGTTGAGAAGCTTGTGTCTTTGGTTTGAAAGCCACTGTAAGAGGAGCTTGTGGTGTCATCATATATACTGTCGATTAGATGGCCTGGCTTCGAGGTGGCATCATTGACCTCAGCATCTCCTGACAACATGGCTACCACGCGTGACATTGGTGGTCTCAACGCATGAGACGACTGAGTGCAAAGCAGAGCAACGCCAATCATGCATTTCACTTCTTCCATGTTGTATTCACCTAGCTCATCATCAATTAGTTCAACGTCACGGCTTTTCTCGTGTAGATTCCATGCCTGTATACAAGAAATACACACGGATTATCGGCTTTGGCCATTTATCACCATCTCCAACTTCTTCCCCTATATGACAAGTAAAGACGTACCCATTCAAGAAGATATTTTTTTCCCTCCTCCAGGTTTTCATCAGAGTTTTTCCTTCCACTCACTAGCTCAAGAGCCACAACACCAAAGGCATACACATCCGTTTTCTCTGTTAGATGTCCACGCATGGCATACTCTGGCGCAAGATACCCACTGCATTGATACAACTAACGTATTATAAATCCATAAATGTGTTGCAAACCAAAGGTCAGGGTCTGAGGATTACTTACATCGTCCCTGCCACTCTGGTACTAATATGGGTTTTCTTGTCATCATATAGTTTTGCAAGCCCAAAATCAGAAACTTTTGGGACCAGTTCAGAGTCCAGTAAAATGTTGCTGGCCTTCACATCTCTGTGTATTATGCGAACACTTGCTTCCTCGTGAAGATAAGCTAGACCTCTGGCTACTCCCAAACATATCTCATAACGGGTTGTCCAATCAAGATGTAAACTCTTATCCCCTGCAACATCCAAACTAAAAGCATAATGAGTACTTTAGCTTGGCAGAAGCAGAGATAGATAAGTGTGTTTCTGTTCATTACCAAATAATGCGTCATCGAGACTTCCATTAGAGAGATACTCATATACGAGCAAACGCTGATCTCCTTCAAAGCAGCACCCGTAAAGTTTTACTAGGTTACGATGCAGAACTGAAGAAATTGCTACAATTTCTGCAACAAATTGTCCCTTCCCGTGCCGTGATCCAACCGAAGACAGCTTCTTCACTGCGATCTCTCTTCCATCATTGAGGGTTCCCTGTTGAATGTGATTTTCAAACCAAAATGTACATATTAAAAGGCATTACATATACTCTTCTTAATTACCTAATACTATACAGATTATTTAGGTAAGGGACTTACCTTATAAACAACCCCAAACGCTCCCTCTCCAAGCTTGTTTGAGGGATCGAAATCTTGTGTTGCACTTTTAAGTATCGAGTAAGTAAAGGTGTAAGGCTTTATGTCCATACTAAGTATCTCTGCCATAAAAAATTAGGTTCTCAAAATCAACCAATGAAATAGATGATATTTAACTTCAATTTTTATATTAAGAGAGCCAAAAAAATTCAGCTCACGGGATTGTTTATGTTCTTATTACATCTATACCTTCATCATCTGTGTATGGCTTTCTACTTTTTAGGATGATGAAGATAACCACACCCGCTAAGATGCTCAAGAGTCCTACGGCAACAATGACACCCACGATAGTACCAGTCATGTTCTTTTCCTTTGATGGTGGCCTATTAGCCACAGTTGGTGTGAAATCTGAACAGGAATATGTGACACTTAGGCACTAACTAGCATCAGGAGACAGTAAAAATCAGGGGAGAAAAAAAAGAATTCGTCATATGTGTTACCTGGTGTTGCACTGACGGCCGATATTAATGGCCCATAAGCCCCTTGGATAGGAATACAGCATGTTCCTTTTCCAGCCCAGAAAAGATGGACTTCGAGATGATTTTCTGATACATTTGTTTTATATTCTCTCTGAACTGCTCGAACCGAAGAACCACCAGCTGTTCTGCGTATATCAAAATCCTTTTCAACAAGTCTTCCCTGGAAAAACGGAGCTAGATCTTAAGATTCATCAGAACCAAAAAGTAATATTTGTAAAGCAGAAACCTCGATCAAGTGGTGCAGACCTGGACATAAATGTCAAAACGTCGTCTTCCAATACCTTTCCAAGAGTTAGAACCTTGAATTTGTATTTCAGCAAACTGAAGTGTAACGGTGTAGCCTCCATTTTCTAGCCCCAACCCATAATACCTTAGGGAAGATGCAGAAAGTCTTGCTGACTGAAAAAGCTCCGAGTCCAAAGTGTTGATAAATTGTGATTGTGAAGTCTCTCTATATTTATTTCTGCTACTTCCAGCAAAATTTCCTACACTACTGGCTGCCCATCTCTGAGCAGCACTCACGACAAACGAAGCTGGTCCAAGATCCATGTCCTCTTTCTCATATAGTGCTCCACTAGCAGACCTTATCTCTGGGCCTCCGCAATTAATCGAAAAGTTATAATCTAGCACCAGTCAATAGCAAAAGTCTTAGAACATTTTTCCTTTCTTTCCAATAGTACATTCAAGCACTGTCCATGTGATTGCTCCACATCGAGAACAACGGTTATGAGGATATATCTTTGTTACACTTACAGATTCCTTTGCCGCGATTGCAGGCGAAATTCTTCTGCAGGCAGTTCAGTCCTGATAAAACACTTTTTAACAAAAAGAAATTAGTCGTTTATACTTGCATCTTTCTGCAAGAAAAAAAAAGCACACCAACAAGAACACATAAGAAAATCACCTGTTGTCAAGACCTTCCAATGTGAAATTGTTAGCTACTAGATTGCTGCACAAGTAACATACAGTTTTGTTAACATAAGATTATTATAAATATTTCCAACAAAAAGGAAGCTTTATGCTGGATATGAAGCCTAATAAATATACACATGGGAAACTTTCTGAGATTGAAAACAACTGTGAATATAAGTTGAGATATAGTGTTTTGTTAACTTACAGTTTCAAGTTTGGTAAACTGATCCATGAAGGAAGACTTCCAGACAAATCATTGTAAGACACATCTCTGTAAGCATTAAAAAACAATAGTTAGGATCTACAGAATATGTTGTATATTCCAAAATAGTTTCCTGATTGTCTGGGGAAGTCTTCAATGTAAGACACATCTCTATAGTGAGATATATCAGAGATTTGATTTTAGAGTGATTGTTGGAGTTTTCATTTCTTTCATTTTCTCTTCTTCTTAAATAAGTCTTTCATCAGAGACATTAGACTATTAGAGCAAGGAAGTTGTAGCTTCATTGTTTCGGTTGTAACCGAGGGGCAAGAGATTATCTCTCTTGTGGGAAATTCTGTTCTTTAGGCATTTGTTTTTCTCTTTGTCTGGTTCTTTACTCTATCAAAACTTGAGTCTAGTACATCAGGAGGATCTGCTAACAAACCGTCCAAAAGAGCATTGCAGCTTTTAAAGATGAAACAATTATAAAAGGATTTTTTTACTCACATATTGATCAGAGACTGCCTCTTTTGAGTGGGCAAGGAGCCATTCAACGTGTTGTTTCCCAGAAACCTAATATGAAGACAACAAACTTGTTCACAGTTGTTCGGGCAGTTGTACATAAAGAAACCAAAAGAAGCAGATATGAAACATATCATCTTACAAGTGAGTAAGTTGACTTAAGTTGAAAAGTGAAGCCGGAATTGGTCCATGTAGTTTGTTGAAGCTCAAATCACTGGAAAACAGACACGAATTACATGGTAAAACACTATACTATTCCTGTTAAGCAATAAATGAGGAATAATAAGAAATTCTATTATCAGAAATTTAAGAGCATTTTTGTATTCTCTCGGTGACTTTCACAAATTTTCTCACTCTTCTTACAGATAAGACCCTGACAAAGCTTTTAGAGCATTAAAAGAAACACATTGACATATATACTTACACTTGTAGCAAACTTGAGTAGTCTCCAATATTAGACGGTATTGTCCCAGTGAGATTGTTGTTCCTCAATACTCTGCGACACATATCATAAATGTGTTCAACACCACATTAAAGCTGATCATGAATTGGAGTAGAAGTTGAATCAAAGCTGCCTTACAATATACTTAGAGATTTCATGTCTTTGATGAATTCAAGAGAAGAGCCTCCATTAGATATATCACTAAGCCTCCTACATTTAGAATAAGAATATGTGGAGAAAAAAGGAAAGAAAGAGAAACAGTAAATAATAATGATCCCGACAACAATGCAAGACATACAGCTGGCTCAAAGAAGTTAAGTTGGAAAATGACGACGGTATCGGACCACTCAAACCAGTTCCCATAATTCTCCTGCAGTAAAAGACGTACCAGTCGTTTAATCCCAAATTTTAGATGCAATGAAGATTTTTCCAAAAAGAAAAATTGATAAAGTATATACAAGAGCAATGGAACAAGTCCATTATATAGGAATGAATTCTTCTTACAAGGTAGTAAGTTTGGTCCAATTTCCTATAAAGTCTGGTATTCGACCTGTAACTTCAAGATCCATAATCCAACTGGTGCAACGTTAAGGAAAAAATCATCCCAATGCAGAAACTAAAATGTAAGTAATAAAAAGATTACAAGAAAATAGCTTCAACTAAAATCTAACGATAAAGCTTATATTCAAATTCAACATATCTTACGCGACAGTCAGCTCCACAAGATTAGCCAAGGATAAAGGTATTTCCCCATTGAGTCCAGAACTACCTATGTATCTGCAATAGTTGTGAGGAAATTTTTAAAACAAGTAATTGTGCAAGAATTTTGTGGTCGGTGAACACTAAATGATTTCGAAGTTTAAGATATCATATCTAGATGAAAAAAAAAAGATACATAAACAGTTGTAGACTTTACAGAAACACTCACATTTGCTGTAGTTTTGTACAATTCCCGATCTCAGCAGGTATAGAACCGGAAAAGTTATTTGAACCAATACTACTGCAGAAACAATATATACATAGGTATAAGGAACCATCAGCAGAAGCAATGGAATAAATTATCATAAACAAAAAGATGTAGAAGCCCCATAAGCTAACAGTGATCGTAAATCTGTGAGGCGACCAATTTCCTTAGGAACAGGGCCAGACAAGGCATTGATCCCAAAAGTCCTAGGTGATAAAAAACAGTTGAGCGTGAGAGACAAGAAATTGTTAAACTGAACAATACGTCAAAGAAAGTTTCAGAGGCTTTTACATCCACTGCATTAGAGTCAAATTCCCAATTGCAGGAGACAGTGAGCCTGTCAGAAAATTTTGAGCCAGGTTCCTGAAAGATGTGATTTTGATGAGTTACAGTCTCAAGATATATATAAATCTTCTACTTGTGAATACGTGTGTGCTCTTTTTGATAACAAAAAAATGGGTATGGATCAATACAGATTGGTGAGGAATATCAAAGTCCAGAGCTCTTGAGGTATAGGTCCTACAACATCTCTCGCATAAACCTTTCTGTGGAAACAACAAGGAGAAGAATTTGAGACGTGAGTACATGAAATAAAAATCATTAGTTTCGCCCAGAAGACAGATTAAAAAGAGTCAATTCCCAGTGGGAAAATTCGTCGAACACATGGGGTGCACAAAAATGGCGTACAGGGCGGTGATGCGGCAGATTGTGGAGTTGACGAAAGTACAGCCGCATTTGATTAGAGGGTTGTGGTCCTTGTCGTCGATGGTGACATCGTTGATGGCGGCGCCGGAGCAAAGTTCGCCGCTGATGTTCCATTCCTTGGGCGCTTGGATCTTCCAAGTCGCGAAGATTGAGTTCAAAGCTCGCGCTGTTGTTTCCACAATCACTCACAACGGTCAAATTATTTATTATTATTATGAGCTCCTTAATCTAATTACGCTTAACTAAAGTGTTAATTGAAACTAACAACTATATTTATTATTTAAATAAATAAAAAAAACTATATAGTATATTAACCGAACTAAAAAAACTGATTATATATATATAATACCTTTATAAAAAAAGCATATAGTAATAACTGAAACAATAGTAATAACTCAAACTAACCGGTAAAATTTATTTTAAGTAGTATTTTTTCTGTTTCACAAAAAAGTGTCATTTTACATATTTTCACATATATTAAGAAAGTTATTAAAATTTTTATTATATCTTTTATCAATACACTATTAATATATTAAAATAATAGGATTAAAAATGGATTTTTATTCAAAAATTTAGCATTGGAAATATTAAATAAAAATAAAACCTTAAAACTAAAATGAAGGAGTATTTTGTAATGGATACATTATCAACAAGGATCCAAAGAAGTAGCTATTATTGGTAATTGAACTTTTGTCAAGTGTTGAAAGACAGACCTTCGTCGGGATGAGTAGTGGCTCCGTTTTGGTTTTGGGCTCGAACCACCACGTGAACCGAACCGGAACTATACAAGAACCAGACGGTTAGGAGCAGAAACAGAGATCTCCGTAGCCTGAGCATCTCTCAACAACTAGACAGACGAGGTTTTTAATATAACTTTGGTTCAACAAAACAAGACGACTATGAGTGTGTTTATGAATGAAGAGATTACATTATTTTGCGAGTACTGGGCTCTCGGTTTTCTGTATAGAGTGACGTTAGTGGCTATGAAAATTCTTCCTTCTTCACCAAACCACTTATAATATAATATATATATATATATAGAGAGTTTTCTTGTTTAGCTAATTAAAAATTTATCTCCACACCTATAGCAGAGAGGCGACTTACTCCAAGTTGTTGACACACCAATCACGGCCAAGATCATTTATGTATTTGATCAACAATATAAGATTGACTATTAATTAATTAAGGAGATTTCGAGTTTCTTCAAAGTCGTCGCCGTCCATTTTCAACTAGGGACTTAAAAGGGTTATTTTGTTATGTGTCATGTAATAATGCCAATATCCATTTCGTGCTCGTGGAACCCACTCATGAAAGTGATCTTAATCATTATTTCCTTTTGAAATATAAGACAAAAATTACAACACATGATTACAAATCAACGAAGAAGTTGCTATAGTGAAGAAGACTGAAGATCATAAACGTCCATACATGGCTTAAGTCAACAACATCATTTGGAGATTTATAGTCTGGTCTTGGAACACCGATCCGGCTGAGGATCCTCTGTGGAACCGCGACCATGCAAAGGAGAGTGTGGAAGCCATTTGTTCCAGTAATGAAAATAAATCAAATGAGCTAAAATATCTCTCTGAGAAAAGATTAATTATGAAAATCAATCAGATACGAAGAATTTATAAAAGTGATCACCTAGAAAACCTCTTTCCAAAACCCTAGATTCTTTTAGTCCATTAAAGAAAACGTTGTTTATTAAAGGATGGAAAAAATATATAACTTACTGAAAATTATGGAAACTGGAGAAATTAACCCTATGATATATCTTAGGGTTGTGTGTAAAGAAAATGATGTTTTGAAGCAAGAGAAAAGAGATGAATTTGAGACTACATCTTGGAGAGTTGGAAGGAACATTTGATATGGAGAAAGCAGTGTGTAACCATGGTTTCTTCATGATGGCTCCAAACGTGTGGAACCCTTCAACAAAGTCACTACACCGACCATTAACCCTTTCGGATTCTTCTTCCGTGGATGTCACGATCTCTCATCCTCCCACACTCTCTTTTCTTGTAGTCCAAGTCCACGGCATCAATAATGTTTCCAGAGTGGACGAAGAACTCATCTTGCAACAAGTGGGGAGGATGCTGAGAATCTCAGAAAAGGACGAACGTGACATGATTGAGTTTCATCAAGTCCATGAGGCCGCAAAGAAGAGTGGTTTCTGTCGAATTTTCCGCTCTCCATCTCTCTTTGAAGATATGGTCAAATCTATTTTGTTGTGTAATTCCACTTGGAGTAAGACGCTAGGCATGGCTTCTGACCTCTGCGCATTGCAATTAAAGCTAGCTGACGGCACAATTAGGCCTTCGACTACTTCTCGTGTATCGAAAAAGAGGAAACCGAACCCAAAATTCAAGAGAGCAACAAGGGGAAACTTCCCTAGCGCCAAGGAAATAGCAAGCCTTGAAAAAGAGGTGATCAATGAGCACTGTAAACTTGGGTACAGAGCAAATCAAATAGTAAACTTAGCAAAGAAGGTTGAAAATGGGTCACTGAATCTTGAAAAGATGGAAATGGGAGAGATGGAAGTGGAACAAGTGATTGAGAAAATGAATAAGTTAAAGGGCTTTGGTCCTTTTGCTACTGCAACAGTGCTTATGTGTCTCGGCTATTACCATCTTGTTCCATCTGATACCGAGACCCTAAGACTCTTACGAGAGGTATAATATCTATCTATCTATATTTCATTCCCTTTACTGAGCTATTTATATCATTAATCTAAGATAGTGTATGTTTGGAGGTGCATGAAATGAAGGAGTGTTCGAAAGAGACGCTTGAGAAAGCAACAAATTCAATTTATGACCGATTCTCTCCATTCCAGTCTTTGGCCTATTGGTTAGTTTCTAGTCTTTTTTTTTCTAAGCATATATAGTTGTTTTTGAATGTTTATATGGCTTGTTCTTGCACTATATATTATAGGTTTGATTTGATCCAAGACTATGAAACAAAACTTGGGAAGCTTAGCAAGTTGAGTCGCACTGACTACAACAGTGTTAGCGGATGCTGCCACACGAAGAAACAACTCGAGGCAAACGAATGATTATCTTACTTTTTCTATTGATGATTACATTAAGGTTTTGTTGATGTTTTTCTTTCTGTCTCTTGGTGTTGGTTCAGTCCTCTGATATTTAGAACATGAGGTTACCATCTTATGTTTTAATTCATCTGTTTTCCAATTGAATCATATAATACCTGCTGGTTCGTATCATTTTGATTTGATTCAGTCTAAACTGCATCAAACAAGAAACTTGGAAGAAGTAAAACTCTTTGTCTTCCATAAAGCTGCCTGTCAAAGGCATTCGTTTTCTGCAAATAAGTCAAATTGAATCTTGAGGCCTTCAACATGAAATAAACATTAACATAACCACACATATTTGAATTGCAGACTAGTGCTCGTGGAAGCCACTCATGAAAGTTATCTTACTGATTATTTCCTTTTGAGTCCCAAAACAAACATTACAACACATGAATATACAGAGATTGTCACAACAAGGAACAAGTGGTTAGTGACGAGTCAGTCGCCTTCAGAGGCTCATTGATTTGGCTAAGTACATGAATAATGCGAGGCTTATCACTAACGGTTAAAGATCAACTCCAACTTAGAGCTACTAAATTATTATTATTGAATCAAAGTGAAATCTGTTTTTTCCAATCAAAGAAGAAAATTGTCATCTTCCATATACAAACATCTCTATAGCCATCAATCGGAGAGGATACATTGTCATCTTCCCTCATTGATATTGGCTCCAAGCATTGGCTTAAAGTCGCTGTCTCTGGGTGATATCTCGGAGCCAGGCGCCACAAAGCTCATGGAGTAGTCAGTTGTGTCTTTGCTTTGAAATCCGCTGAGAGAGGAGCCGGTGGTGTCATCAAATCTCCAGTCAGTTAGGTAGCCTGGCTTAGAGGTGACATCACCGACCTCAGCATCTCCTGAAAGCATGGCAACCACTCGTGACATCGGTGGTCTCAAGGCATGAGTTGTCTGTGTGCACAACAGAGCAATGCCAATCATGCGCTTTGCTTCTTCCGTGTTGAAATCAGTCAGCTCATCATCAATAAGTTCAACGTCACGGTTTTTTTCGTGTAGATTCCATGCCTGTATACAGTAATGCACAACGATTATTGGCTTTTGCCATTCTAAACTTCCTCCATTTACAATCAATCATAATAATCAAGGTCGAACCCATTCAAGAAGATATTTTTTTTCCTCCTCCAGATTCTCATCAGAGTTTGGCCTTCCACTCACTAGCTCAAGAGCCACAACACCAAAGGCATACACATCCGTTTTCTCTGTTAGATGTCCACGCATGGCATACTCTGGCGCAAGATACCCACTGCATTGATACAGCAACACCACTAACATGTGTTACTAATCTGTAATTGTGATGCAAACCAAAGGTCAGAGTTTTTGGATTACTTACATCGTCCCTGCCACTCGGGTACTTATGTGGGTTTTCTTGTCGTCGTATAGTTTTGCAAGGCCAAAATCAGAAACTTTTGGGACCAGTTTAGAGTCAAGCAAAATGTTACTGGCCTTCACATCCCTGTGTACTATGCGAACACTCGCCTCCTCGTGGAGATAAACTAGACCTCTGGCTACTCCCAGACATATCTCATAACGGGTTGACCAATCAAGATGTAAAGTCTTATCCCCTAAAACATCCAAACCAAGGGCGTAAATGAGTACTTTAGCTTGTCAGAAGCAGAGATAGAGAAGTCATGTTTCTGTTCATTACCAAATATTGCCTGATCGAGACTTCCATTAGGAAGATACTCATATACAAGCAAACGATGCTCTCCTTCAAAGCAGCACCCGTAAAGTTTTACTAGGTTGCGATGTAGAACTGAAGAAATTGCTACAATTTCTGCAACAAATTGTCCCTTCCCTTGTCGGGATCCAACTGACAACAGCTTCACCGCAACCTCTCTTCCATCATTGAGGTTTCCCTATTGAATGTTTTTTTCAAAACAGAACGTACAAAAAGGTATCACATATACTCTTATTTCCTAGTATATCTAAGAATGTACAGATATGTCGTCCATTTCGGTATGGGACTTACCTTATAAACAGGCCCAAACCCTCCCTCTCCAAGCTTGTTTGAAGGATCAAAATCTTGAGTTGCACTTTTAAGTTCCGAATAAGTAAAAGTGTAAGGTTTTACGTCCATACTAAGTAGCTCTGCAAAAACAAATCGGTTCTTAAATAAACCAATTTAAAACATGACACTCAAGGGAAATTTTAGGGCCAAAATTTCCTCAGCTCAAGGGCTTGTTAGTGTTCTGATTACATATATACCTTCATCATCTGTGTACCGGTTTCTTCTTTTTCGGATGATAAACATGACGACACCCGCAAGGATGGTCAAAAGTCCTACGCCAACAATGACGCCCACAATAGTACCAGTCCTGTTCTTTCCCTTTGATGGTGGCCTATTAACCACAGTTGGTGTGAAATCTGAACAGGAATATGTAAACACTGTCACTTAGGCACTAAAGAGCCTCTGGAGATAGTGAAAATCAGGGATAAGAAAGAATTCGCCGTTTGTGTTACCTGGTGTTGCACTGACTGCTGATATTAATGGTCCATAAGCCCCTTGGATAGGAATACAACATGTTCCTTTCCCAGCCCAAAAAAGATGAACTTCGAGGTGATTTTCTGATACATTTGCCTTATATACTCTCTGAACTGCTCTAAAAGTAGAGTCACCAGCTGTTCTACGTACATCAAAATCCTTCTCAACAAGTCTTCCCTGGAAAAACGGAGCTACATCTTAGAATCCATCACCAAATTTGGAAACAGAGAACTTGTAAAGCGGAAAGCTTGATCATGTAGTGCAGACCTGGACATAAATGTCAAAACGTCGTCGTCCTAAACCTTTCCAAGTGCTAGAAGTAGAACCTAGAATTTGTATTTCAGCAAACTGAAGGGTTACTGTATATCCTCCATTTTCTAGCCCCAACCCATAATACCTTAGGGAAGATGCAGAAAGTCTTGCTGACTGGAAAAGTTCCGAGTCCAAAGTGTTGATAAACTGTGATTGTGAAGTCATTATGTATATATTGCTACTTCCAGTAAAAAGTCCTACACTACTGGCTGCCCATCTCTGACCAGCACTCACAATAAATGAAGCTGGTCCAAGATTCTCGTCATCCTTCTCAAATAGTGCTTCTCTAGCAGACCTTATCTCTGGGCCTCCGCAGTTGACCGAAAAGTCAGAATCTAGACACCAATCCATAGCGAAATTCTAAACATTTTTTTTCCAACTGTTCATGTGTAATAGTAATGAGGATATCTCTTTGTTACACTTACAGATTCCTTTGCCTCGATTGCAGGGGAAGTTCTTCTGCAGGCAATTTAGTCCTGATAAAACCCTTTTAACAAAAAGAAAGAAATGATAAGTTGTTTATACTTGCATCCTTTTGGAGGAAAATAAAAAGAAAGAAAAGAGAAACATATTGGAGTTTCAATCACCAACAAGAACATATCTAAGATAATCACCTGTTGTCAAGGCCTTCTAATGTGAAGTTGTTAGCAACTAGGTTGCTGCATAAATATCATACAGTTTTGATTAATATTCACTAACATAATAAAAATTATGTACAAAAAGGAAGCTTCATGCTGGATATGAGAACATTTCTGAGATTGAAAACAACTGTGAGTATAAGTTGGGATATAGTGTTTTTGTTTACTTACAGCTTCAAATCTGGTAAGCTGACCCATGAAGGAAGACTTCCAGACAAATCATTGTACGACACATCTCTGTAAGCATAAAATAACAATACAATTAGGATCTACCGAATATATTATATGTCCAAAAACAGTTTTCTTAATATCTTGGCAAGTTATCTGTGTCACCAGGAGTGGAAATTTTATTCAACTTCAGTATGAAACTTGAGTCATCAGGAGGATGAAACAAACCGTCCAAAAAAACTAGATAAAACAATTATAAAGAATTTCGTCACTCACACATTTCTCAGAGTCTGCGTCTTTTGAGTGGGTAAGGAACCATTCAACGTGTTGTTTCCCAGAAACCTAATATGAAAAAACGATTTAGTTTTCTTTTTTTTATCCGTCTAGTTATATAGTAAGACCCAAAAGAAGCAGAAAACATATCATCTTACAAGTGAGTAAGTCGACTTAAGTTGAAAAGTGAAGCCGGAATTGGTCCATGTAGTTTGTTGAAGCTCAAATCACTGGAACACAAACATGTATTAAATGGTAAAACATTAAAATATTTCTGTTTACTAATGAATGAGGAAGTATACGAAATATAATTATTTGCAGTTTAAGATCTTTTCATGTTTTTTCTGTGACTTTCACAAATCATCTCACTCTTTTTTACTCTGAAATAGCTTTCAGAGCATGTGAAGAAACACATTGACGTATGTACTTACACTTGTTGCAAACTTGAGTATCCTCCAATAGTAGATGGTATTGTCCCAGTGAGATTGTTGTTCCTTAATACTCTGCAACAATATCATAATTGCTAAATACACAGAGGAGAGAGAGAGAGAGAGAGAGAGAGAGAGAGAGAGAGAGAGAGAGAGAGAGATAGAAAGTTCAACAGTACATTAATCTGATCATAGGAGAAGTTGAATCAAAAACTGCCTTACAATACACTTAGAGATTTCATGTCTTTGATGAAATCAAGAGAAGAGCTTCCATTGGATATATCACCAAGCCTCCTACATATAGAATATGAATATGTGGACAAAGGGAAAGATAGAGAAACAGTAGACAATAATGATTCTGACACAATACAACACATACAGTTCTGTCAAGGAAGTCAAGTTGGAAAATGACGACGGTATCGGACCACTCAAACCAGTTCCGAGAATTCTCCTGCAGTAAAACATGCACCAAACGTTGAATCCCAAATTTACACATAAAGAATAATTTTCTACTAAGAGTAAAATTAATATAAAAACAAGATGAATGGAACAAATCCAACATAACTCTGTCAAAATGAAATCTTCTTACAAGGTAGTAAGTTTGGTCCAAGATCCTATAAAGTCTGGTATCTGACCTGTAACTTCCAGATCCGCTATCCAACTGGTACGACACTAAGATTAAAATCACCCAATGGCAAGACTAAAACTTAAAGTAATAAATAGATTAAAACATCTTTTTAGAAACCCAACAATAAAGCTTATACTCGAATTCAGTATATCTTACGCTTGTTCCAGCTCCACGAGATTAGCAAATGATAAAGGTATTCTCCCGCTGAGTCCAGAACTATCTATGTATCTGCAATAGATGGAAGAAATTCTTTTAAAAATCAACTACACAAGAATGTTGTGGTCAGTAAACACTAGATGATTTATGAGGTTTCAAGATTTCCTATCTAAATTATAACCAGGAAATAAATACAGAAACACTTGTCGATTTGACAGATACACTCACATTTGCTGTAGTTTTGCACAATTTCCGATCTCATCTGGTATAGAACCAGAAAAGTTATTTGAACTAATACTACTGCCAAAAAAAAAAATACATATGTATAAGGAACCGTCAAGATCTTTCAGAAGCATTGTGAAGACACTATCATATCTAAACAGTGAAGAAGCATCAAAAGCTTACAGTAATCTTAAATCTGTAAGCAAACCGATTTCTTTAGGAACAGGGCCAGACAACGCATTGATCCCAAAAGTCCTAGGTGATAAAAACAGTTGAGCGTGAGAGACAAGAAATTGTTGTAGAAAACCATCACCCGAACCACAACAATACAAAAAAAAAAAAAAGGAAGGTTTCAGAGGCTTTTACATCCATTGCATTCGAGTCAGATTTCCAATTGCAGGAGGCAGTGAGCCAGTGAGAACATTTTGACCCAAGTTCCTGAAAGAAAGGGAGATATGTGATTTTGAGGTCCATTTCTCAATATTTGTATTTGCAAATGTGTGTGTTAGCTCTTGTGATTATGAATCAATACAGATTGGTGAGGAATATCAAAGTCCAGAGCTCTTGAGGTATAGGTCCTACAACATCTACCGCATAAACCTTGCTGTGGAAACAACAACAAACAAAACTAAGACTCAGTGGGAGAATACGTCGAACACATGGGCTGCACAAAAAGGTGGAAAGAGGCTTACATGTTAGTGATGCGGCAGATTGTGGAGTTTTCGAAGCTACAATCGCATTTGATGAGAGGATTGTAGGCAGGGTTTGTGTCTAGGACACTGGCGTCGATGGCGGCGCCGGAGCAAAGTTCGCCGCTGATGTTCCATTCTCTCGGCGCCTGGATCTTCCAAGCCGCGAAGATGGAGTTCAAAGCTCGCGCTGTTGTTTCCACAATCAAATCACAACGGTCAATTTTATCTTATCCTAATCACGATTAGTTATATCAAACCAAATATTAATAGAAACTAACCGGTAAACATAGTATTTTGAAATTTATGGATACAATTCATGGTTTTTTTTTTTTTTAGTTATAAATCAATTAGGATCCGAATAAACTAGCTATAATCTATACAATCCAATTGATTATTGGTGACTGAACTCTTGTGGTATAAATAATTAAAGACAAACCTTCGTCGGGATGAGTAGTGGCTCCGGTTTGGTTTTGAGATCGAACCACGTGAACCGAACCGGCAATACACATGAACCAGACAATGATGAGTAGTAGACACGGAGACGGCCGTAGACTAGTCATCGTCGACGGTGGTTTTGCTTTGGTTTAAGAACACAAATGCTTTTTAGAAAAGAGTTTATGTTCTGCTCTTTGCAAAATTAGTTGAGAGGTTTAAGCTTTGGTTCATTTATGATTTCAGTTTTAATACTACAACAATTAGCGTTAGCAAACTAATATATGGTCTAGTCCCGACAGCTAGCGCGTGGACCGAGGAGCTGCGCCTGCTGTGTCAACAACGGTGGTGGCGGCTGCGCTGCGAGTCGTCGTAATTAACTAACGAAAATAATAACATCATCCCGAAACATTCAATTCAAGAGAACACAATCAAATGACGTTTATAAGATTACGTAATTGATCAACATGGCTTACTTTAATAGCCTGCACCATTTCTCTATTGACCTTTTATTATGTAAGATTAAGAAACATAATATCAAAACCACACGTTTCAAGTTTGAATCGTCGTTCATCTCTGACTTGGGACTCGGAAAAAGAATCTTAGGCCATATCCGGTTCGAGCTCGCTGAACCACCCATGAAAGTGTTCTTAATAACTTCATTTAAATTCCAACACATTACACTGTAGAAGAAGTGACTAGCGAAGAGACGGCATTGATTTGGTTGTGAGGACATGAATAGTCGAACTCAGACGAGCTAAAATATTATTATTTATCTAGTCAAAGTGAAATCTAGAGTTTTTCAATCAAAGAAGGAAATAGTGATCCTCATATACACAAACATCATCTCTATAGCCACCATATAGTTACAGTGAAGGGTCTTTGTCATCTTCCCTCATTCATCTGGGCTCCAAGCATTGGTTTAGAGTCGTTGTTTCTTGGTGATATCTCGGAGCCAGGCGCCACAAAGCTCATGAAGGATTCAGAAGCCTCCGTGGTTTTAATTCGAAAGCCGCTGATAGAGGACCCTGTGGTGTCATCAAATCTCCAGTCGGTTAGGTAGCCTGGCTTTGAAGTGACATCACTGACCTCAACATCTCCTGAAAGCATGGCCACCACTCGTGACATTGGTGGTCTCAAGGCATGAGATGTCTGTGTGCACAACAGAGCAATGCCAATCATGCGCTTTGCTTCTTCCGTGTTGAAATCAGTCAGCTCATGATCAATAAGTTCAACCTCACGGCTTTTCTCGTGTAGATTCCATGCCTGTTAACAAGAATTACACAATCAAATCAAAGTTTGCTAAAGTAGATCAATCATTTATAACAAGTATGGACGTACCCATTCAAGAAGATATCTTTTTTCATCCTCCAAGTTCTCATCAGAGTTTGGCCTTCCACTCACTAGCTCAAGAGCCACAACACCAAAGGCATACACATCTGTTTTCTCTGTTAGATGTCCACGCATGGCATACTCTGGTGCAAGATACCCACTGCATTTATATAGTAAAAATCACCAGCAAGTGTTATAAATCCATAATTGTGTTGCAAACCAGAGTTCCGGGTTTGGGAATTACTTACATAGTCCCTGCCACTCGGGTACTTATGTGGGTTTTCTTGTCATCGTACAGTTTTGCAAGCCCAAAATCAGAAACTTTTGGTACCAATTTAGAGTCAAGCAAAATGTTGCTGGCCTTCACATCCCTGTGTACTATGCGAAGCCTCGCCTCCTCATGGAGATAGACTAGACCTCTGGCTACTCCCAGGCATATCTCATAACGGGTTGACCAATCAAGATGCAAAGTCTTTTCCCCTGCAACATTCAAACCAACGACAAGTACATAATGAGTGCTTTTAGGCTGGCAGAAGCATAGATCGATAATCATGTTTCTGTGCGTACCAAATAGAGCCTGATCAAGACTTCCGTTAGGAAGGTATTCATATACAAGCAAACGATGATCTCCTTCATAGCAGCACCCATAAAGTTTTACCAAGTTGCGATGTTGAACTGCAGAAATTGCTACAATTTCTGCAACAAATTGTCCCTTCCCTTGCCGGGATCCCACCGACAATAGCTTCACTGCTATCTCTCTTCCATCATTGAGTTTTCCCTGTTGAATGCGTTATTCAAAATAAAAGGTAATATCAAAACAAATGGTATTACACATATACTCTTCTTTCCTAGTATCTCGAATATACGCACAGCTCAGTATGGGACTTACCTTATAAACAGGCCCAAATCCCCCCTCTCCAAGCTTGTTTGAGGGATCGAAATCTTGAGTTGCACTTTTTAGTTCGGAGTAAGTGAAGGTGTAAGGCTTTACGTCCATACTAAGTATCTCTGCCAGAAACAATTCGGTTCTTAAAATCGACCAATATGAGAGATGACATTCAGAGGGCCAAAATTCTTCAGCTCAAGAGCTTTTTGCATCTATACCTTCATCATCTGTGTACCGCTTTCTTCTTTTTCGGATGATAAAAATAACCACACCAGCAAAGATGCTCAATAGTCCAACGCCAACAATGACACCCACAATAGTACCAGTCATGCTCTTTCCCTTTGATGGAGGCCTATTACCCACTGTTGGTGTGAAATCTGAACAGGAATATGTAACACTCAGGCACTAACTAGCATCAGGAGATGGTGTAAAACAAGTATTCATCATTTATGTTACCTGGTGTTGCACCGACGGCTGATATTAATGGCCCATAAGCCCCTTGGATAGGAATACAGCATGTTCCTTTTCCAGCCCAGAAAAGATGGACTTCGAGATGATTTTCTGATACATTTGCTTTATATTCTCTCTGAACTGCTCGAACAGTGGAGTCACCAGCTGTTCTGCGTACATCAAAGTCCTTTTCAACAAGTCTTCCCTGGAAAAATGGAGCTAGATCTTAGAATTCCTCAGAACCAAAAGTCGGAAGAAGATAATTACACCAAAAAGTTTATTTGCAAAGCGGAAAGCTCGATCAAGTAGTGCAGACCTGGACATAAATGTCAAAACGTCGTCTTCCTAAACCTCTCCAAGTGTTAGAAGTAGAACCTAGAATTTGTATTTCAGCAAACTGAAGTGTTACGGTATAACCTCCATTTTCTAGCCCCAACCCATAGTACCTAAGGGAAGATGCAGAAAGTCTTGCTGACTGAAATAGCTCTGAGTCTAAAGTGTTGACAAATTGTGATTGTGAGGTAGCTATGTATATATTATTGCTACTTCCGGCAAAAAGTCCTACACTACTGGCTCCCCATCTCTGACCAGCACTCACGACAAATGAAGCTGGTCCAAGATCCTCGTCCTCCCTCTCAAATAGTGCTCCAGTTACAGATCTTATCTCTGGGCCTCCGCAGTTGATTGAGAAGTCAGAATCTAGACACCAGTTAATTGAGAAAATATTTAGCAAAATGGTTTCCAACAATACATGTCTTTGCTCATGAAGCAGATATCTCTGTTACACTTACATATTCCTTTGCCCCGATTGCAGGGGAAGTTCTTCTGCAGGCAGTTCAGTCCTGATAAAACCCTTTTAACAAAAAGAAATTATACTTGCAGGCAACAAAAAAAAAAAGAAAAGAGAAATATATTGGAATTCCAAGCACCAACAAGAACATATATTAAAAAATTACCTGTTGTCAAGACCTTCCAATGTGAAGTTGTTAGCAACTAGGTTGCTGCACAAATAACATACAGTTTTGTTTAATATTCTCTCTAACATATGATTATAATTTTTAATACAAAAAGGAAGCTTCATGCTGGATATGAAGCAGCCTAATGAATATACATGTGAGGAAATTTCTGAAATTGTAAAAAACTGTGAATATAAGTTGGGATATAGTGTTTTGTTTACTTACAGATTCAAGTTTGGTAAGCTGACCCATGAAGGAAGACTTCCAGACAAATCATTGTACGACACATCTCTGTAAGTATAGAAAAACAATAATTAGGATGGCCAGAATATGCTATATATTCCAAAATAGTTTCCTAATAATATTGGCAAGTCATCTGTGTCACCAAGAGTGGAACCTTATTCAACATGAATAAGTGCAGAGTAAAAAGTGTACGAAACTCGAGTCTGTGTCAGACGAAACGTTGTGGATTTCAAAGATGAAACAATAGTAAAGATTTTCGTTACTCACATATTGCTCAAAGACTGCCTCTTTTGAGTGGGAAGGGAACCATTCAACGTGTTGTTTCCCAGAAACCTAATATGGAGAAAACAATTATTTTTTCACAATAATCCGCGTCGCTGTACATAAAGACCCAAAAGAAGCAGAAAACATATCATCTTACAAGTGAGTAAGTTGACTTAAGTTGAAAAGTGAAGCCGGAATTGGTCCATGTAGTTTGTTGAAGCTCAAATCACTGGAAAACAGACACGAATTACATGGTAAGACATTAGACTGTTCCTGTTAAGCAATAAATGAGGAATAATAAGAAATTCTATTATCAGCAATTAAGAGCATTTTTGTATTCTCTCAGTGAGTTTCACAAATCTTCTCACTCTTTTTACAAAAAAATAGACTCTGAAAAAGCTTTCAGAGCATTTGAAGAAACACATTGACATATGTACGTACACTTGTCGCAAACTTGAGTATTCTCCAATATTAGACGGTATTGTCCCAGTGAGATTGTTGTTCCTCAATACTCTGCCACATATATTATAAATGTTAAATACAGGGAGGAGAGAACCAGATCAATTCGTAGAAGTTGAAGTTGAAGCTGCCTTCAACTTGAATTAAAGCTGATCATGAATTGGAGTAGAAGTTGAGTTAAAGCTTCCTTACAATATACTTAGAGATTTCATGTCTTTGATGAATTCAAGAGAAGAACTTCCATTGGATATATCACCAAGCCTCCTACATTTAGGATACGAATATGTGGAGAAAAGGAAAGAAAGAGCAACAGTAAACGATAATGATTATGACAATAATGCAACACATACAGCTCTGTCAAAGAAGTTAAGTTGGAAAACGACGCAGGTATTGGACCACTTAAACCAGTTCCGAGAATTCTCCTACAGTAAAACACGTACCAGCCGTTAAATCCCAAATTGAAATGCAATGAAGACGGTATAAAAATGGAATAAGCCATTATATAATTGTAAAAAAGAAATCTTCTTACAAGGTAGTAAGATTGGTCCAATCTCCTATAAAGTCTGGTATCTGACCTGTAAGTTCCATATCCGCAATCCAACTGGTACCACATTAAGGAAGCAAACACATCAAGGCAAAAAAACTAAACTGTAAAGTAATAAATAGATTACAAAAAATAGATGCAACTAAAGTTGAAAGATAAAGCTTATATTCGAATTCAATATATCTTACGCTTGTTCAAGCTCCACAAGATTAGCAAATGATACAGGTATTCTCCCGCTGAGACCCGAACTATCAATGTATCTGCATTAAATGTAAGAAATTCTTAAAAATAATTAACTGCGCAAGACTTTTGAGGTCGGTGAACGCTAAATGATTTTGAAGGTTAATATTTCATCATCTAAATTATAGCCAAGAATATAAAGACATAAACACTTATAGCTTTGACAGATACACTCACATCTGTTGTAGTTTTGTACATCTCCCAATCTCATCTGGTATAGAACCGGAAAAGTTATTTGAACTAATACTACTGCAGAAATAAATAGGTATAAGGAACCGTCAGAATCCTCCAGCAGCACACTATCATATTTAGACAATCAAGACGTATCTTAAGCTTACAGTAATTTTAAATTTGTAAGCAAACCGATTTCTTTAGGAACAGGGCCAGACAACGCATTGATCCCAAAAGTCCTACGTGAGAAACAAGAAATGTTCCAAAAAGGATGCATTATCAATTAAAGGTGTAGACATTCACTACAAACAATAAGACATAGAAGGTGTCAGAGACATACATCCATTGCATTCGAGTCAAATTTCCAATTGCAGGCGGTAGTGAGCCAGTGAGAACATTTTGACCCAAGTTCCTAAAAGAAGTGGTTTTGATTTGTGAAAATGTGTGCTCTTTTTGTAGCTAGTCTATATAAATAATCAAGTGATAATAAAACCATACAGATTTGTGAGGTATTCCAAGGTCCAGAGCTGTTGTGGTATAGGTCCTACAACTTCCATCGCGTAAACCTTGCTGTGAAAACAACAACATCCAAAATGAATTCGAGACTTGAAAGTTGAAATATATTAGAAAGTTCCACATTGCTTGGGATTAAGATCTTTGGGTAGTATATAAAAGATGTGGCAATCCTTAAATCTTGAGCTAGCTTTTGGGTTAAGTTAGGCCACATTCCTAATATAGTATCAGAGCCCAAGATTGGCCCAACAAGCAAATTCCCACACAAATAGTTTCCCACCTATGTGGCCCATATAAGTGGCATGTCTTGTTGTATTTCCGAGATGTTGGGCTTGGGCTGTTTCCCGTTGGACCGTTTCCCACCCACATCTCGAGGAGGCCTATTAGAAAGTCCCACATTGCTTGGGATTAAGATCTTTGGATAGTATATAAAGGATGTGGCAATCATTAACTCTTGAGCTAGCTTTTGGGTTAAGTTAGGCCACATTCCTAATAAACTACTGAAGCATACATAGCTACGACATGAAATTGAAAACCATTCGTTTCGTTTCACCACAAAACAGATAAAAAGTCAATTCCCAGTGGGAGAATACGTCGAACGCATGGGGTGCACAAAAAGGGGGAAAAGAGGCCTACATGTTGGTAATGCGGCAGATTGTGGAGTTTTCGAAACTACAATCGCATTTGATTAGAGGATTGTAGGCAGGGTTTGAGTCTTGGACACTTGCGTCGATGGCGGCGCCGGAGCAAAGTTCGCCGCTGATGTTCCATTCCCTCGGCGCCCGAATCCTCCAAGCCGCGAAAATTGAGTTCAAAGCTCGCGCTGTTTTTTTATTCACAACGGTCAACTCTTAACTAAACCAAATGTCAATTGAAACTAAACCGGTAAATTTCTTAGGATAAAACAATAATATTATTATATGGATACATCGGTTTTATCAATTAGAATCAGAAGACTAGCTTGATGACCTAGCTACAGTCTTTTCAATACGATCGATTGAATTTGAACTTGTCAAGTGTTCAAAGAAGAAGAAGACAAACCTTCGTCGGGATGTGTGGTGGCTACGGTTCGATTTTGGGCTCGAACCACGTAAACCGAACCGGAATTACACAAGAACCAGACGGTGAGGAGTAGACACAGATACCGCCGTAGCTTGAGCATCGTCGGCAACTAAAATTAAACGGAGAAGAAGATGATGTGAGAGAGACAGAGCCGCCAAAACTAGACGGAGGAGGTTTTGATTTGGTTCAAAAATGGTGTTTATGTTGGACTTTGAAGAGAGCTTTTTTTCATTTTGCTTAATTTTGAATTTGATTAATGGTCTAACCAACTAACACACTAATCTCAACGCGAAGCAGTGCGTCTCACGCGCCGTCTCCAGCAGCAGGTGGGATGCACGCGCTTGGACCGAGGTTGCGCTGCCTTGTCAACGGAGATTTCAACAATGGCTGCAAGCATCACCACCTTTGGACCTTGATACTACTAAATGCCAATGATGGTCTCAAGGGATTTTAATGTTAAAAATGGGACCAAACAAAACCAACATTCAGGAGAAACAGTCAAATCTAATTTGGTCAAACAAATATGTTTTGCAAGCGAATATTTTATTTACCACAATATTGACTTTTTTTCTTTTTAATGTTAAGAACAAAAAATAGAAAACCCACAAGTTTTCAAGTTTCATGTCGTCGTCCATGTTCTTCATCTTGGGACTTGGAAGAATCCTTTGGAGTTTCAGGTAATATCCAGCTCGAGCTCGTTGAACCACTCATGAAGCTCATTGCATTCTCGAATGTTCTCTCAGAGACGTAGCCTGGCTTCGCATTGGCTTCGGTTACCTCCACATCGCCGGTCAGCATACCTACCACTCGGGACATAGTTGGCCGTATTGCATGATCTGTTTGTGTGCACAAGAAAGCTACTCCTATTACACGTTTCACTTCTTCCTTGTCAAATTCTGTTAGATCCGGATCCACTAGTTCCAAATCACGCTTCTCTTGGTGTAGGCTCCATGCCTACACAACCCAAAGACTCAAATTATTCGCCAAAAATGGAATTAAAAAAAAAAGCCTGTGTTTGTAGGAAAAGTTAGATATATACCCATTCGAGAAGGTATTGTTTGTCATCATCCAATTCTGGAGAGGAGTTAGGCCTTCCGCTGACAACTTCCAGAGCCACTATACCAAAGGCAAACACATCCGTCTTCTCCGTAAGATGTCCAAGCATCACGTACTCTGGTGACAGATATCCGCTGCAATGCAACATTCAACAACTGTAAGTTTTAACCCATTTGACAAACCACATCCAATGTGAGGTTTTCAGGATACTTACATCGTCCCTGCAACTCGGGTACTTATGTGCGTCTTCTTATCATCATATAGTTTGGCCAACCCAAAATCAGAGAGTTTTGGGACCAGATCCGAGTCCAGCAGAATATTGCTTGCCTTCACATCCCTATGCACTATACGGGGATTTGACTCCTCATGCATATATGCTAAACCTTTTGCTACTCCCAAGCATATCTCGAAACGGTCTGACCAGCCAAGCTGCAAACTCTTTTCCTCTGCCACAATCATGCAACGTGTAAGCTAACAGCAGTGGGTTTTTTTTCACAAGGATAACACATGTAAGATCTCATGAGCTTACCGAATAGAGCTTGATCTAGACTGTTGTTTGAGAGGTATTCATATACAAGCATGCGCTGATTTCCCTCAATGCAGCATCCATACAATTTTACAAGGTTGCGATGCTGAACAGCTGATATAGTGGCAATCTCCGCAACAAATTGACCCTTTCCTTGCCTGGATGCAACTGACAATTGCTTCACAGCTATCTCTCTTCCGTCGTTCAGTTTTCCCTGTACCAATGGATATTTTTTAGAATATAGCTAATGGAAATATTTACATAACCTCCTAGTACACTACACTCCCCATATTGGTGTTTCATCACATTCTGTGTAGGGTCTTACCTTAAAAACAGGTCCAAATCCTCCCTCCCCAAGCTTGTTGGAAGGATCAAAATCTTGAGTTGCAGTTCTGAGTTCTGAGTAACTAAACGTGTAGGGCCTTATGTGCAGACTGTTTAGCACTGCATAAGAGTAATTAGTTGATAAGAACCAGTTAGAAGGTTACAGTTGTTCACGATTAGACTTTAATAATACTGCCACAACTAAGACTTTCTATTTACCTTCTTCATCAGCCGCCCTTTTCCTTTTCCTACGGATGAATAAGATGATAGCAATCACCAAGATACTTAACATTCCTGCCCCTACAATGGCCCCTACGATGATACCAATTTTTTTCTTGGATTTCGAGGGCAACTTATTTTTTACAGTAGGTATGAAATCTGCAGAGAAGAAAAGCTACTAGTTAGAAGAGACATTGGACTCTACGAAGATCATGAAAGTTTCTGATGTATACCTGGAGTTGCACTGATCGCTGAGACTAACGGCCCATAAGTGCCTTGAGCAGGAATACAGCAGGTCCCTTTTCCAGCCCAGAAAAGATGAATCTCAAGGTAATTTTCAGATACATTTGCTTTATAGACTCTTTGAATTACGCGGATACTAGAACCGTTAGCAGTTCTGTGCATGTCAAAATCCTTTTCAACAAGTTTTCCCTGAAAAACAAAAGAAACTCAGAGGTCAGAAACCATTTCTGAGAGAAGAATATAGTTCATGAGGAGTTGAGCCTTAAAAACGTTGCATCTTAAATTTTCACCCCCACTCGAACAAAATCTGTGCTACATCTTGTACCAGATACTCTAATAGAAAAGGATCTCTTGTATGCCAATGCTTATCAAGGATCTTCTCTCTCTGGTTCAAAAAAGTTACTACAGAGTACAGACATATTTCATATTATGATTACTTGAGATGACAGTATGATAATTATTTAACTCCACAAAAACAAAATAACAAATTCACAGAAAAGCCGAAATTAATGTTTGTAAGAATATGGGCAGAAGCTCAATGTAATAGTAGAGACCTGGACATATATGTCGAAAACTCGCCTTCCAAGACTTTTCCAGGTATTAGAACCTTGTATTTGTATCTCAGCAAACTGAACTGTTACACTATAGCCTCCATTTTCTAGCCCCAGTCCGTAATACCTTAAAGAAGATGCAGAGAGTCTCGCTGATTGAAAAAGCTCTGAGTCTGAAGTGTTTGCAAATCGTGTAGGCGAAACAAATATATATTGATTGCTGTTACTCCCAGTAAATAATCCTACATTGCTGACTGCCCATCTCTGTGTTTTACTTACGAAAAATGTAGCTGGTCCAAGTGCCCCCTCGTCCTTTTCATACAAAGCTCCACTACTAGACCTGATATCCGGGCCTCCACAATTGACGAAAAAGTTGAAATCTGGACACCCATTAAAAGAGAAGCATCTTAACCAACATGTTGTGTAATATTTGCATCCTAATATTCGAAATGCTAAAACTGAAATGACTTTCAAAACAGCATTTAGATGCACTTACATACTCCTTTCCCTCGATTGCAGCGGAAATTCTTCTGGAGGCAGTCCAGTCCGCGGAAAGCCCTAATAGAGAAAAAAACAAAAAGTACTAAAATGAGGAATATGGAATGTAGACTAACAGTTGTATGCTTGTAAAATAGAAATAACGTAGAACTTCAGGCACCAAGAAGAGCAAAAGATTCACAAAGTCACCTTCTGTTAGAACCTCCCACGGTAAAGTGGTTGGCAATCAGGTTACTGCAGAATAATACACACACAAAAGAAAACTTTTTATCAGCAAAAACAATGTATTATGTACCATGAAATTTAAGCACATAGTTCTCGAACTTACAGTTGCAAGTTTGGTAGGCGAACCCAAGAAGGAAGATCCCCTGCTAAATCATTGTATGACACATCTCTGCAGATAAAGCACTTTGAATTATATTGACAGGTTTTCAATACATATTTCCCAGAGGAAAAAACATTCCTTTGAATTGTATTGACAAGTTTTCAATACATATTACCCAGGGGGAGAAACATTCCTCTACATATATTTGTTACTCACATATTGCTAAGAGAGGGACTTTTTTGAGTGGGTAAGGAACCATTCAGCTTGTTATTTCCAAGAAACCTGAATGAAGGTAATGATAATTCTGCTCACTTAGTCTGCGAATCTTGAATAAGAGCATGTGATGGGAAAAATAAATATATTCTTACAAGTGAGTAAGCTGTCTTGAGTTGAAAAGCGGAGCTGGTATTTGCCCAGTTAGCTTGTTGAAACTCAAATCACTGGAGAACAAATAAAGAATATTGCTTGTAATTATTAAAGCCCTAGGTGCTTTATTTTAGAAAGTATATCATCTCAGTTTAGTAACAAAGAAGATATAGGATAACTTTTTGGAGAATCTTAAGATCTGGAACAAAATTTTGTGTCATCTTGTCTCATACTTACAGTTGTCGTAGCCACAAGTAATCTCCAATATTGGAAGGTATTGTGCCTGTGAGATTATTGTTCCTTAATACTCTGCATGATATTTGAAAAATGTCAAAAATACAGAGGAAAGGGAACAGCTAAAGGAGTTCATCAATATTAGGCAGAAGCTGAACAGAATTCCTTACAGGACACTTATAGATTTCATTTCTCGGATGAATTGAAGAGAAGAATTGATATTACTTATTTCACCTAGTCTCCTGCATTTTGGATTTCAGTCAGTATCGAGACAAAGAGCAAGTGGAAAAGTGAAGGATAAAAGAACATATATCCAGCACTTACAATTCTGTCAATGAAATTAAGTTCCCAAATGTAGATGGAATTGGACCACTCAAGTTAGTCCCCAGAATTCTCCTGCAGTAAAGAATGTTTCAATATATAGTGTGGTATACCATCAAGTGTTGATTATTAACCGTCACTCTGTACGTTGATAAGCGAAGGCATAAAAGAAAGAAATAAAGATTGAATGAATAATTGAAGAGCTGCAATATGAAATTTCTCACAGAGTAGTAAGTTTGGTCCAATTTCCTATGAAGTCTGGTATCTGACCTGTAAGTTGGATATCATTAATCCAGCTGAAACGAAATGAAAAAAAAAAAAGTCAAATCCAAAACTTATGAACAAATAGGAGTATTCTTTGTGTTTCTCAATGAGTAGCCAGATACAATAACAACCGACAACATTATAATAAAATACAACTCTTACGCTTCTTCCAAGTTCACAAAATTAGCAAATGATGAAGGAATTTCACCACTAAGTCCTGAACTTCCAATGTACCTATCACAAATATGAGAATCAATAAACTTATTGCATCTCGGAAGCACTTCAGTGTATAGACATTTGGTCTATTTGTAAGACATTTTAAGAGAAGTGAGGCTCTGATAGAGTGTTTGATGCAAGCAATACTAAATGTCACCACAGTTTTGGAGCTTCGTAGGAAGGAGCATGATGAACAAAGCATTGCATACACTTACATTTTCACTAGCCT